GTGGGATGCTAACACCATTAATGGGCAGAGAACACCTTGAGGGCTGGACATGATGCGATTAGTTCCAGACATGCTTGGTTTGAGTTTTCTTAAGGTGTTTAGCTGCAGATTTCTAATTAAATACTTGGATATTTAGATTTAAAGCCTAGTGAAATGTTCAATGCCAGCCAGACTGTATTGGAACTAAAAAGGTGAACTATCTCAACTAATATTAGTTTTTATAATACATCAGAAGTAACTTATTTCAAATACTTAAAGCATATTGTGAAGTAAATACTATTTAGTTAACTATTAAGGTATTCATATGTGTATGCACACACATGTATACCAATATACACATTATATTTATATACCTATATGTACTTAAAACCAATGCATATATGTTATGTGTAATATATATTACATGTATTATACTTTGAAGAATATATGCATCTTTTATGAGAAAAAGCACTTTGAGTTTCAACCCATTGATATAGAAGCAGGTTTTCTTAATCTTTAAGATTGGTCCTACCTATAAGTTTGTCAACTGCTTACAATAAAAAATATACAATTTTCAATAAATGAAGATGAAATTAGAAGTAGAGCCCAAAAGGTGATGTTTTCACAATTTTCTTCCCTCCCTTTCTCTCCCTTCCACGTATGTGCATGTATACAACACAGTGTAATCAAAATCACCAATCTTCTGAAATGAAGAAGCTATGGCATCTTCTATAAATTTTTGGAGAATGAACCAATCACTTGTATCTTGCCTAAGAGAAGAATTGCAAGTCAGTCCAAGATTGAATTTGAAATTACCAAATGTTAGAGGAGAAAGAACTTTGTTCTTTAGGTAGTCCTGCCTATCCTGCAGGATGAGCCACAGAGGGAGTATTTGACTTTCCCAGCATGATGGGGGCAAATCTACGACTAATATGAAGTCTCCAAGATCCCCACTGCTGCATACATTCTGGCCACATCAGTTCTCATATTTTAGTGATAAAGTTGAAATTTCATCCATGCCAATATCATTTTCTATGCCTGTTAATTTTCTATACTTGTCGACTAAAAGAAGAACTTAACATTTTTTTCTCAGTTGTCTGTTACACTAACAAATAAAAATGACATAGCATTGGGAGGCTGAGGCGGGTGGATCATGAGGTCGAGAGATCGAGACCATCCTGGTCAACATGGTGAAACCCCGTCTCTACTCAAAATACAAAAAAATTAACTGAGCACAGTGGCAAGTGCCTGTAATCCCAGCTACTCCGAAGGCTGAGGCAGGAGAATTGCCTGAACCCAGGAGGCGGAGGTTGCAGTGAGCCGAGATTGCGCCATTGCACTCCAGCCTGGGTAACAAGAGCGAAACTCCGTCTCAAAAAAAAAAAAAAAAAAAGAAATGACATAGCAATGGACAATTTGGCCTATTGTCTCCCGTTCTTAAGAAAATGTTAGCCTACCCAATTTATAACACATAAAATAGAGTTAATTAAGTTTTCTTTCTTTGACGTTTGCCAATTTAGTCTTATTGACCATACATTGTTTTGGTTTGGGTTTTAGTTTCAAAAATTGCATTCATTGAATTAAAATAAAATCCATAGCTGCAAGTTTCTTACAGTAGCCTTTAAAACCACTGTTGAGTTACTCTGTAGAGGATGTGACCCAGAATAATTATAATTTGAAAGATTAAAAACAGAAAATCCTGGATCAGGACCCAGCATCATTCCTAACGCACACACACGCAAATACACATTCTAAATAAATCCTCATTATGGAATGTTTTTATATTTTGTTGGACTGAAATCACTGACCATATTTTAAAGCACTGGTAGTTTGAAGAAAAAACCTCTCCTTACTTGACTGTCTTTTTTTCCCCATCTCTGCATGAATATCAGATTGTGAAGTCCACAGAACAATATTCTCTTTTGTCTATGTGATATCGCATAGAGAAAACACCTGAGCAACTCAAGAACAATAGATATTCATTAGAAAAATCCATCAGAGAAATCAATGGTAATTTGAGTTTCATGAGGACAAGCACAAATACATTGAACATACTGTATGATCAGAGTAATCACCAAACTAGCAGGGATGATGACATAAACTGTGTTAAAGTGAGTATGGCTAAGACATGGGTGTTTCCTAACCATTATCAATTGGCCCCTAGAATTCATTCACATGCAAAGGATACCCATTAAGTCTCAAGTAAGAGCAAGTGACTTTTGGTCATGCTAGGCAAGACAGTGACTTTTCAGAACTTTCTTTTTGATGGTATAGAATCCAATGTGAAAATGTTAATTATGTTTTTACATTGATGACGCTTCCCTGTTTGAATACACAAAGACCATATTTTTAAACAATCGATTGCTAATGCTGTTAGAAGGTAAGGTAAATTAAATATTTTCATAGGGCACAGCTGGAGCTTTAAAAATTACTTTTGTCTTTTTCTGATTACGCCTTATATTTTAAGGCAGTTTTAGGTTCACAGCAAAATTGAGCAGAAGGTACAGAGATTTCCCATTTAGCCTCAGCCCCTACACATATATCATGGACTACCCTACTGTCAACCTCCCCCATTAGAGTGCTACAATTTTTACAGTTGGTGAAACTACATTGACACATATTATCAGACAAAATATATAGTTTTCATTAGGGTTTATTCTTGGTATTACTTGTTTATTGTTGCCACTCAGAAATGCCAGCGGAGGCATTGTTGTTGAGAAAGTGACAACTTTGCTAATCCTGTATATGAAAGTTTATCCTACCAGGGTCTGAGGATCCTGGGGATAATGGATATAGACCAGAAAGCCCATAAGTTGTCTAAAAAAATTTGCATGTATACATTAATGAGTATGTTTTAATTACAAAGACAGTTGTTAGAAAAATAACAAATTTAAGCATATTCTGGATTATCTAAATAACCAGTTTTTATCCCAACATGGTTTTATAAAACCTTTATTTACATTTTTTTTGGTCACCTTAATAACAAATAATCACTTGAAGGTTTACTTTAAAATCTGCGTATGAGTTCCCTAGACTAATGGAAGTTTATAGAGTTATTCATGTGACCTCATATTTTTAGGTTAGAGACACATTGACCCAAGGTTGAGTAATTTCCATGTGCATAATAACACTGTGTAATGAAACTATAACCTCTTAACCAAAGATTAGTTTTTTCAGTTAACCCTTGAAGGAAACACTTCTCCCTAACATACACACAGCTGTGTATATATAAAAGAAATAGTGCCTTTTTTCCCCTTAGCTAGATTTGAAATGAGGGAAAGGTGAAGAGCTATAAAAAAAAATATTTCTGAATTGATCATGGAAAAGACTATTAGGAATTGTAGTTGTGGCCAACGTTTTTTATAGTACTATTACTATGTTTTTGAAAGTACTATTACTGTTTCTGAATTTGCCCATTAATCTGGGTTTATGTAACACAGACTAGAAAAAATGTATATAATCAAGTCAAGTGCTCAGTTGCATTTACATGATACCAAGCAATGTAGTTAACTTTTACCCCTCTCATCTCAATATTTTTAACTAAACGGACTAGTATTCTGTCATCATGCCGAGACAGGTTTAGATGTGAGGTTGGCCCAAAGGCTGAGCTGTTGACAAGTGTCTTCATCCCAGGCTGCTAGAAGCTAGTGTGCTATGTTGGCCACAGCTTTGAAGACCTGTTTCATGCTACACAGGCTGAAATCATTCCAGTTCCTTTAAGAAGATGTATGCCTTCTCTACTATTAGTGTTAATTGAAAGAAAGTTAAACCATTTAAGAGGACAAACAGGGAAAAAAATTCTAGAAAGAAATGAATTAAATTGTTCCCAATTTAGTATATAGCTCCATCAGTTTCTAGATTGTGTCTAGTATTCAATATGCCATGATTATCTTCTGATTTTATTAAACTGTCAGTGATGTGTTTGATCTTTGAAAAATCTAGAGGAATTCTTTCTCTTATTTTTTTTCCTTGAAGAATACTACTTCTAATCTGGTTTTGGTTTGAGCTGATCTTTGCATCTCAACAATGAAGACAAGAGCAATTTCTTGAGCTCTATTTTCAACTAAATTCATTCTTTACAGTTTTACATTTAACCCTGAACTCCTTTTCCGCTTCTCTAAGCTACAGTACTGAAACTCCATTTGCCTACTTTCAGAACAAGTTCCAACCCCAGTTAGGGAAAGCTGGCTTATAACCATTTTATAACTGCAAAATGACAAATTTAAGTTTTGAAACTCCTTTTTCTTTCCATCTTTTACCTATTTTCCCGATTCACCATCCCTACCCACTTATTATCAAATCTATTCATGTGCCTTCTAGGAGTCTCTTACCATGCCTCTCCTAATTAGGCTTATCAACCTTCACGCCCCCACTTTTGCATCAACTAAACCAACTCTAGAAAAGAAGTCATTTCAATTGAAACAAGTTGTACTGTGGTATAAGTGGGTAGGTAGTTGGTAGATGTAGTATTCTCATCTGCCCAGGATAATTTGCCTTGCCAAAGAAACATGTCTAATTCAAGGTTATAAAGAGAAGTTAGATGGGTTTAATGAAAAGAGCTTGAGCTTTAGAATCAAGAAGACTTGTGTAGACATTCTGGGCCCCATTTATTCCTCCTCTATAAAAAGGTATAAGACAATGGTTACTTTTTAGAAATTCTGTGATGATTGAATTAGATGATTTATCTAAAGCACCACATACAGTATTTGAGATAAATTATCAGTTAATAAATAACACAAAAACTTAGCACTTAAAACATGATACAATTTCAGGTACTATGGCAATAAACCAAGAAAAGTATTTTTGGGCTGGGCATGGTGGCTCACACCTGAAATCCCAGCCCTTTGGGAGGCCAATGCAGTGGATCACCTGAGGTCAGGGGCTTGAGACCAGTCTGGCCAACATGGTGAAACCCTGCCTCTACTAAAAATACAAACACTTAGCTGAGCATGGTGGCAGGTGCCTGTGATCCCAGCTACTCGGGAGGCTGAGGCAGGAGAATTGCTTGAACCCTGGGAGGAAGAGGTTGCAGTAAGCTGAAATCATGCCATTGTACTCCAGCTTGTATGACAGAGTGAGCCTCCGTCTCAAAAAAAAAAAAAAAAAAAGAAAGAAAAGAAAAGTATTTTTGAACAGCAGTTCTTTGTTTGTTTAATATGTTCTCCATAGTATTGCTTGAATCTTTTCTGGAAAGAGATTTATAGGAAGTTAGATGCTATATTTACTGGAGACCTTTCTTTATAGTTTTAACAATTGTTTTCTCTAATTCTTTGTAGAGTGGTTTTTATTATTTTGGCCACAAAGAGACAGGCTAAATGTCAGCAAGAGATTAACTTTATTATATGTAATCCAAGAACATTCTGAGGCTAATAACCCGCAATGCAGCTTCGTCTTCTGTTGTCCTAAGAGCCAAGTCCTCCTACTCCCTGCTTGCTCTCTTCACTTTACACTCTCGTATACTGACGCAAGAGAGGGCACTCATGGCATGCAACTTCCACCACAAGGAAAGTCTGTTATCATCTTCAAATAAAAGAATGTCTGATGGTAAAGGTCAGCTCATGAGTCCAATTTTACCTTTGGTTTGTAGCTTGGAGAGAAAAAAAGCCACACAGATTATAAGCCAAGGTGCTGGCAACCTTTCTATATGAAATCAGCTGCTTAGTAATTAAATTTGATGCATGACATTTTTGAATGTAAAATTTAAGTCTGCAGTCTTCTACAATGCAGATGAGAAAAAAGCCACATAATGGAAACAAGTTATCCCCTGTTCCTATTTTCTTTATTTAATTTTTTATTCTTTTATTTTGATCAGATGTAGTTTAAGAGGAGTGATACCAATCCTCCTCAGGGAAAATATACCTTCCACTGGGTGTGAAACTCTATGTCATTTGGAAAATGATGCTGTTTATACCTCAGTTTAAATCTTCACATCTCATAGTACATTACCTATTTCTATATGAAATCAGCTGCTTGGTAATTAAATTTGATGCATGACATTTTTGAATGTAAAATTTTACTAGCAAATAAATTGAACAATAGCATATCATTTTCCCAGGAAATCAATCTTCCTGCCTCTTGATTAACCAAAATGCATGAAAGGAGAGCATTTATTATTAAATATTAAATCTGTGGTTAACAGAAAGTTACTAATTTAATCTTTCCTGTTGAAAATAGATTTAAATTTATTAGTCTGCTTCACAGCCTTATTAATAGAGGATAGTATCTGAGTGAAATAAATGGACTGTTCATTCTCTGATGATCAGACCCCTTCTATTTCCTTAACATCTTCATTTTTATAAATGAGAGTACAGTAGATCAAGATTCATAAGACACAGGAGAATAGACTGTATCAACTAAAAAATATTCCTTAGAATATACTTTAAAAAAATAAACTGGTATTTGCCACCAGTTTTTCTTCATATGTATTTACTTCTGAGAGTGGAGGACAGAAAAAAAAATGAAGATAGCATGTAGTTGAGATCCTGTACTCTAGTCAGAAATGAGCCTGTGATTATGTGACATATGGACATGTCTGTCTTCTATTTTCTTGCCCTTTGTAAGGATCTAGTTTAGCAAGCAGAACCAACATGGCAATCTCAGATTTCTTAGGAAGCATCTATTAAAATCACCAGACCATCTCTGCCTACCACACTCTGACTGAATATTTTTATTACCTTATATCTACTTTTAATTTATTAAGCTTCATTTTGCTTGTATAATTATTTTCCTGTTACCATTTTTTATATCAAGAGAAAGTTTAACTTCCCTGACTTTGCAACCTTGGCTCTTTGTGATGTGGTGCTGTGCCTCCATGGACACCCTTTTCTCAGTCATCTAGAACTGCATTCAAACATCTTTTCTTTCTCACAAGCAGTATACTTTCATTCTCATTCTGCCTACTCAATCCATATATCTATTCTCTACCTCTGTAATTCCTATGTGTGCTTTGATACTCATATTTTGTATCACCCTCTCTAAGAATGCTGCCTTGATCACCCCAGACCATCTCCACCCCATACCACACAGAGTGCTACTTTGCATTTTCATGGTATGCTGGGATTCCTTCTCTCAGGCATTACTTACATAGTGTAATTGTTGGTTGCTTGTCTGTTTCTGTGGTAGGTAGAATCCTTTGCACAGCGCTAAGTACTGTGCATTAAAAATGTTATTTGAGCCAATTTGGATTTTTTTTCTATTTAGTGGTTCCTGATGAACATGCATAATAACTTTAATAAATATTCTATTTCAAATTAAATAATACCCAGGAAAAACTGGCAGGTTTAATATTTCCCATAGTCTGGCAATAAGGCAATGGGCCCTTTGCCGTTTTTTCTTTCTGTTCTTTACCACTTGAACCCTTTTCTCTTGTTGGTATTGGCAGAAAATTAGATCTTAACTCCTTCAATCCATCACCCACAGTAATTCCAAAATCCAGGGAGGTCTGCCCTGGGGTTTACACCCTCAGTCTTTATGAAGGTGTTCATCTCTACACAAATAGCCACTTCCAAGGGTAAAATTTTATCACCCCAAGAACTATCTTGGGAGGGACTCTAGAGTGAGTAAGTTAGTAATTTAAAAGACCCAACACTCATCTCTCATTAACCATCCACATGATTGGTGCGAGAGCCCGCTGACAGGTGCCAAATATGCAACTGCCTCTCAGCCTCTCCAATGCCCCCTTATCCCCATACAGTTCTGAGCAGTGAGTGGTTATGAAACAAAAAGAGGCTGTTCACATGTTTCTTTTCAAAACAAAGAAGTTCTGCTCCAATAGCGCTTTGATATTTGTGCTGGGACAAAATATATGACTTAACTTTTCAATGACATATTCTGCCAAAACTAACAATCAAAATTCTAGTTCTATCCCTGGCAATCCCACTAATTTATTGGCCAATTTTATTTTCTATAAATAATTTGGAATTTTTATTTTTCATATTAAAAAAAAAACAAAAATTGTACTTCTAATGAACCACATCTCAATATAGACTCAATTATTTGAGTCTATCTGTTTTACTCAAGTTTTTAAAATAGTTTTAAAAAGAGTATGTGCTACAAATCAGAGTCACATAAATTTAAAAGAGAAAAATTTGAAATTGGTGAGTGTAGTTTGAGTCATCCTTTGAAATTCTGCAAGTAGAGATGTATCAAAGAAAGTTACATTTTTAAAGCTGACAAAGACCTTCAAAGACCTTCACTTAATGAGCTCTCTCATTTTGCGAGTGAGGAATAGACTCCAGGCCCAGTTCTCTTACCTGAGTTTCCTAAGGTATCCTATGGCCAAAGACTGATAGATTTGGACTACAGCTGGCCTTCTGATTACCAGATTAATGTACGTTTACCTCCAGCTAATCAGGCACTTTCCACATTTTAGATAAACTTAAAATCTTCACATGTTAATATGTGTTTTTTTTTTTTCTCAAATTTTGTCCCCTCCAAATAATAGACCTCTTTCCTACCTCTTTTGAGTTCTTTTTGTTTTGTATGGGTTTTTTAGACTCCCAAGTATATAGCCAGCTTTTATTATGTGCAGATTTCTCTCATACAGCTAGCTCTTTTAAGTTATTACCAGTATAATTACCATTACATCAATAATTTCTCTCCTTCAAATGCACTGTTTAAAAACCATGGGCAATATTTGCTGTCTTTTGGCAGCATAAATCTCTGATCCATTTATTTTTAAGACAAACTCTTGTAATTGGAAGGATTCTAAAATGATCATTATGTTGTAAATACCCCATGAGTAGAGGCAGTTTACAAAATGGATTTAATTTCTTTCCATAGGGTTGTGAGTTCTCATTAGCTTTTTTTTTATAAAGATTTTTTTTTTTTTTTTTTTTTGAGACGGAGTTTCGCGCTTGTTACCCAGGCTGGAGTGCAATGGCGCGATCTCGGCTCACGGCAACCTCCGCCTCCTGGGTTCAGGCAATTCTCCTGCCTCAGCCTCCTGAGTAGCTGGGATTACAGGCACGCGCCACCATGCCCAGCTAATTTTTTGTATCTTTAGTAGAGACGGGGTTTCACCATGTTGACCAGGATAGTCTCGATCTCGTGACCTCGTGATCCACCCGCCTCGGCCTCCCAAAGTGCTGGGATTACAGGCATGAACCACCGTGCCTGGCCTTATAAAGATAATTTTTAATTCAGTCACAATTTTTTGAATGACTATCACATGCCTGGCCATGGGAATACAGAGATTAATATACCCAGAGGTTACCCTTGAGGAGTTCCAATCATCTAGTTTTTGTATTCTGCTAAGGTCAGCAAATCACAGAAGTGGTAGGCAAATGTGATTATTTGTATGTCCATTCTTTTCATTCTGCAGAGAAAAGTCATAATTTTTATTCAGTTCTCTAAGGGATTATAATTCAAAATAGGGTTAATAAATACTACTGATTCAGCCTAACCCTTTTCTAAATTGTAGTATCTAGGTAAAGACTTCAGAAAGATTGGTAGTTACTCATATTAGGCTTCTTATGAATGAAACTATACATAGACATACATAAAATACACACACAACTCACACACACACACACATAAACACACTAGATCTCACTTTAATCTTTTTGCTTATTAAAGAAGATGACATTCTGTTGATTAACATTGATGATAAGATAACTTTTAATATAATTAAGTTTTCTTTCAACTACAGTCTGCCAAACAATCTTAGATCTTAAAAACACTTCACGTGACCCTAATTTTTCAACTTTTGGTAAGCTGTGTAAGTCATCCCTGAAATCTATTTTATCTATGTTGATTTTAGCCAAATTTCTCCTCCGCCTTGTTTTGAGGCTAGATATACTTCCAAATGTACCAATTGCATGAAAGCTTTCCAAGATAGAATACAGCCAAATTGAGAATATATAAGTATAAAACATATAATTATACATATGTGTGTGTGTGTGTGTGTGTGTGTGTGTGTGTGTGTGTGTATTTCTTCAATGAAGTATTTCCTCTGGCATACGGATAAAAATACTTCATTTCTTTCATTTCTTTAAATATATTCAGATAAATGTGAAATTAAATTAATCTAAGGATTGTTGTATCTTCTATTTTTCTTCAGTAAGAATGTATTTATTGAACCCCCCCCACCATGTGCCAATATACCATGTTAGGCACAAGAAATAAAAGATGAATTAAGACTGTTTAGGTCAGTATATCATATCTCTGTAAAAGGGACAGTAAAGCCTTTTTTATTTATTTTTTTTTGCATGTAGAAAGTATGTTATCATGATTTAGACAATTGTATTGAGCTCATAATCAAGTAGCTCTGAAACATTGGCCATGCCTCTTACCTCTTAATCCCCTATCTTTAAATGAAAGCATCTGACCTGGTGATTTTATATATCTTCTTAAATCGAATGATCTAGAACAAGTTCACCCACCAATCCTAACCTAAGCTTCAGAGTTTACCAGCCAGTGAACCGTCTTTGAACCTATTGGATGGGAGTATTTATTGAAGAGAGAATGGAATGTGGGGGTAGGGGGGCTCTTGTTTGTTGGTTGTGTTGCAGTCACCCATGGCAGTCCTTCTTTCAGTAAGAAACCAAAGAGAAAGGGAGAAGGGGTAGGAATTGGCCTTTTGGACTAATTATAAGAGGAGATAAATGTATTATATGCTGAGAATATTATCTTCATGGTAGCCCTTGTGAAACCCTGAGAGAGCAGGGGCTTAAACGAGAGTGAGCTGCCTCATTCTGAAGAATGAAACACCTACTCACTGCTTTCAGGAATCTTATGGAAACCATTGGAAGATCAGAGGCAGGTTGCTCCCTTGGCATGAATATGGGCATTGTCACCAGTACTACTACCAGGGGCAATACTGAGGCTCCCACAGGAAGTGGGCCAGGAGGTACTGAATCTCCCATATGTGATCGTGATGGAGAGCGTGGGTGGCAAGCATCTGTGGGCTCCTGTTCAGAACCACCAGTAAACTTGGGGTAGGCTGTGTACCTTTTGGAGGAGAAAGGTAAGTGTGGTAGTCTCCTGTGAGTAGATGAGGTAAGATAAGAAAAATCTCAATTGTTGGTGAAATGTGACCAATTATATGTAGTGAAGTACAGAGGACATTTGCTTCTTCAATCTATTATACTGTCCGATTCCTCTTTTAGGCTCAATGGTTCATTGTAAACATAAAATAATATACAGATTGCAGGGACTTGTCTAACCTGCAGAATTTTGAGAAAGTTTAAATATATCTTGATACTTACAGAAAAAACAAGTGTATGGACATTTCCAGCCTGGAAAAAGTCATGGTACCTTCAAATCAATGCTTGCATAAGCAACAATAAGAAAATAATTTCCCCATTGCAACATTTCATCATGTTCCCATTCCTCTAATTTTGCACCTACTCCCAATTTTGCTTTGAAGGATCCATCTCATCTTCTACTTTTGATCTCTTGAGATCTATGGCAAAGAGTACTAGTCTTTTAACACTGAAAGGTTTTCATAATATTCATCTGAATCTTTATATCTAAAAACGATTGAATTGCTTAAGTTGTCACCAATGCCTGTCAATGAATATGAGTCATGACAATATTGAAGTTCCTTCAATTGGCTTCATGAACAGAGCTATCAACAATGGGGAACATGAGCTGTAGCAGAAGAGACAGACTGAGAAATATCATATGGTTACTATAGCTGAAAGCCAAATGCATGAGTGCACATACATACACACCGGAGATCTATCAGAAATTCTTGGAGGAGAAACACATCTCATAAGGGCAGACAATGCAGTGTAATCTGGAATCAATGAGCAGCATATTGAAACTATAATTTTTGAGGAAAAGATGAAGATAAAATATTCTACATCAAAAGGAATACAGCTTAGAAGAAATATAGGATGATAAAGGACCATAGCAGTATGTAATCCTTGACATTACTGGAAAAAATAACAAAGCCAGATGTTTCAAGACACCCCACTGTTTATGCATGGAGTTCAGACAAAGAACCCCAGTTCCAATCAAAGGCTCTTCTTTCCTTGAAAAACTATCACTATTGAAATCCTGACCTAATTAAAATACCCACTTTGATATCTCAGAATAAAGAATTGAATACTAAATATTGAAACCTGAGTGCCTAAGATTAAATGATATTGTAACAACTCAAGATAAGGATGGGGGGGCTAGGGGATATTGGGGAGGGATATCATTAAGAGAAATACCTAATGTAGATGATGGGGTGATGGATGCAGCAAACCACCACCATGGCACGTGTATACCTATGTAACAAACCTGCATGTTCTGCACATGTATCCCAGAACTTAAAGTATAATTTTAAAAAAAGTTGAATCTAAGGTTCAATCTACCATAGAAAAAACATATTAAAGCAATTGTTTGGATAATTCAGAAACATGTTTTTTTTGACTCAGTAGCAAAGATCTGGACATTTTAGACATGTGTAGTCAATGCAGTTTAATATGTGCCACAGTTTGTTCTTTAAACTTCCCAGTGCCTAGAGAGTTGGCACACCAACAAAGAAAACGAGGCAAATTAGGAAGGTCTAGATTCTAAGTCAGACACACTTAGGTTTATTTTCAAGCTCTATCCCTCACACCAGTGCAACCCCGGCAGTCATTTAACGCTCTGAAGCTATCTTTTAAATAAGTAAAATGAACATACTGATATACATTTCAAGTATTTCCATAAGAATTAAGTGAAATGATATGTATGCAGCTCCTAATATGGAAGCTGACATTCGGTAAGCACTCATTAGTATATTTCCTTTTGTTTATGTGCATGTTAGTAAAACATATTGAGAGCATTTTTATACACCTGAGGAGAGCATATCATGTATCCACACAGGTCAGTCAGTGCCTCTTTGCCCAGGGCTTAGAACTTGGTAATTGTACAAGAAAGGATTGTTGAAAATATGAACTGTGACTTTACATTTAGGACCTTTTATGGTTCATGTTTTTTTAGTATTAAAAAGGTTTAAATCAGAAACAAAGATTTTAGTTTTGTTAGATTTGTAAGATTAAACATCTTACAAAAAAGTACTTCACACAGGGGTAAACACAAGTGCATGGAAGGGGCAGTTAACATTTAGGATCACCCTGAATTCTAACATTTACTTTAACAGGGTGATTCTCTCAGTGGGTATACTACTTCACCTAAAATCTTTTCATACAATCATAAAACTTAAGATTCACTGCATCTGCTTCTTTTGGAATAAGATATTGTTGACATATGCAAATGTATTTCATAATCAACATTGAAGATTATTCATATAGCGAAAAAAAGAGGATTCCACAATCGAGCAAAATTACCTCTCTTAATAGAATATGGTATATCTCTTTTTATGAAGTATCTGAATACAAGCCCAATAAGCATGGAATGTTGAATTAATTCATCTCTAATATTAGAGTCATTTCAATATTACATTGAGGGGTTCTGTATCCACTTTTTGAAAAAAATTATTTTGATAAAGGTATTTTATTAAAGAGGTCAAAATATATAATCTCAATAAAATTTTTGATTAGGTTTTATACTATGACATATTATAAAAACGAATTCATTCTTCCATTTATTTTGCTATTATTCATCTTAGTTGATACCTCTATAGATTGCTTCGTAGATAGGAACCTTACCTTAAAGTAGAATGAAAGTTAGAATCACAACTCCCTCCCCGAAAAGAATCATTGATGCATGACCAATATGATTGGCTTATAAAAACCACTCAAGTAATTTGCATTTAATTTAAGATTTCCTCAAGAAAATTATCCATGATTTACTACTCTAATTGTGGGTTGGCAAGGAAATTAGCATCTCTGAAGCCACAGAATAGAAGAGGTAAGTTAAATTTAGTGGTTAATTGTGAGGATAGTTACAGAAATCTAAGCAGGGCTTTCCCCAGTGAAGGATGTTGAGCTTCCCCTGAATGCAACTGGAAGTGCTTTGTTGGCTGTGGTCTGTAATGAACTGAGTAATTTAAACAGGAAAGGGTACTGTGGGTACTGATGATCAATGCACAAGCTAAAGTGTTGATTTGCCTGCTCTCAGTGTTTATCCTAAACACTGCAAGAAACTTGTAGGCCAATAAATGATGTGTTATGAAATGTTTTAGTATAATCTGATAATATATGAGATAATAAAATCAATGATGATAAAGTCAGGTTCTGTGCATTGAGAATAACATCCTTGGATTTATTATTCTTCCAAAATTAATGTTCTTTCATTATAATAATTTCGAATTTCAGTGATTATCTTAGTAAATTAGATACTAAGTAAGGTTAGTAGTTAACCATGCAACATAAATCTTTAATGACAGACAGATAAAGAGATAGATAGATAAGCACACACAAATATATATGTATGTATGTGCATATAAAGAGAGAAAGAGAGAGACAGATACAGAGATAGGGACAGATAGAAAAGGAGAGAAAGAGAGAGAGAAGGAAAAGTAAGAGACAAATCTTACATTTGAAATAAAATATATTAATGAAATCTCAAGAGTGAAATGAGTACAACCTAGCTTCTTGCAAACCTTGATTTGGTACTAAATGCTTCAGAATCAAGCTGCATTTCTTGTGAATTAAGACAAAAATGGACTGAAATGAGCTAACTTTGGGAAGCTAGATACTTCATCATAACTACAATCAATAACTTGAATAAATATAAATGAACTTGAATGTTTGTTTAATCCTTGAGATAGTCCCCACATTGATTAACCCAGTGCTAAATATGTTTTGTCATCAAATTATTCTTACTTTGAAGACCACTTCTGTTCAATCTCAGCCCCATAAGACAATATCTGATTCTATGGGTTATGGTTTATAATGTTTATTTTCAGGTTGATAAATTTATAATATCCCTAGAGTCCTGCAGAAAATCATGCAAAGTGTGTATATCCATGTATGGAATATAATATAAATGGAAAAAGTCATTTCCCTCTATAATTTTTAGAAGAGGCTAGTCATTACTGTGTATTACATATATTACATACTAACAGGCTGTCAGCAGTCACAAATCTTTCCAAAGAAAGAGCAGGGAAAGATACATACTTTAAACAAAATATTCATTCTATTATTGTTATGTACAGAGTATATAACATGCATCCAAATGGACCATGTCTCATAATCTGTAAGCAAGCATGCCATTGTTACAACTCTGGGACATTTTTATTTTTCTTTACTTCTTAAAATGAACTTTGTTGAGGTTTAATTCATCTGTAGTAAAATGAAATCCTAAGGATACAACAGAGTTCAATGGGTTGTGACAAGTGTATTTGTTTGTGTAAGTAGCAGCCAAGTCATAATACAGAATATTTCTCCCGCCCCAGTCAGTGTGTAAAACATTCCTCACCAAAAAGTCTCCTCATGTCCTTTTCTAGTTGCCACCACTGTTGCCTTAGCTCCTGGTCCTGGTTCAAAATCAGAGCTATTCTCCATTTTAAGCTTGTCCCACACCCTCTATGAATAAACATGTTCTATGTTGAGATATAGAGACATGAGAAAGAATTTTGAAAATTTTACATTGCTGTACATGTATAGTTATGAAATGTTATATTTTTTCCTTTTTGATGAGAATATCAAGTAATGCAGCTGAAGAGTAATAAAAACAACAAAGATATTGGTGCAAAACCAATCTGCTTTTAAATTCCAGATTACCTACTTCCTTAATACATAGTGTTCAGTTCAAGTTATGTAGTATCTGTGAACCCTGGTTCCCTCTTCTGTTAAGTGGAGACAATATACCCATTTATAGGGTATAGAAAAGAGAAAGTGAGCTTTGGTGCAGTGATTGTCACATTTAAGCTCCTGAACATAGCTTTTTCTCCAATTACCCTTACTTTAAAGGCCACTTCAGGTGCATCTCAGTTTTTTACAATATCTCTGACTCCATGGATGATGGTTTATAATATTTACTTTCAGGATGAGGAATTGAATTTATAACATTTTTAGGTTACTAGAGAAATTAATAAGAAGTATGTATACAGTTTATAAGTAGAATAAAATGTGATAGCAAAAAAAAATCCTTCCTCTGTCTATTTATGAGAAGATGATAGTCATTAATGCATATGTCTAATCTAAGACCTACTCATCCTCCCTCAACTCTCACCTTGCTGCTGAAAATGGTGGTGTTGGATTATTCTGCTCCCATCCAATCCCTGTAGTTGACTGTTTTTCTTTATGAGGATGTCCAAAATAGCAGCAACAAGTCTAACTATGTCTTTTCAATAAGGAAAGGTATTATCATCTTTACCTAAAATGATTATTGATATAATACAAACATGATTGACCCACACAAAAATTACACCCCCACTGAAGATTTGGTGGACTGTTCATTGTTTGTCTTTTCTGTGGATTCATCTTGGGCCCAACATCTACCTGAATTCAGTCTTGGATTATAACTTCAGGAAAGGATATGTGAGACTGCTGCTTTGCTGGTGAGGCAATATCCATATCGATTGGGTCAGTTTTATAGTTTCTGCAGATCAAGAAAGCTGCCGTGCAAAACGATATAGAGATGTGTGTTAACCCAGGCTGTCCAACAGGCAGACTCCAAGACAGGATTAAAGGCAAGTATTAGAGGAAATGCCTGTGAGAGAAAATACAATGGTGCTGGGAGAGCCACTCTGCCATGATCCAGAACTGACCTGAGCTGAAGGAAGGAAGGAAGGAAGGAAGGAAGGAAGGAAGGAAGGAAGGAAGGAAGGAAGGAAGGAAGGAAGGAAAGGAGGGCTGGTGGCAGGAGGAAGGAGAGAGGGAGGGAGGGAAGGAGGGAAGCGAGGAGAGAGAAAGGGAGGGAGGAAAGAAGGGAGGGAGGGAGGGAGGGAGGATGGAAGGAAGGGAGGGAGGAAGGAGAGAAGGAAGTGGGGAGGGAGGGAGGGAAGGAGGGAAAGGAAGGAGCAAATATTTTAGAATGCAGTCCTAAGAGGAATTCAGCAAAGTCATTGAAGGATCCTTGAGCCACATTTGCCTGTCCCACATTTCCCAAGAACGGGCCCCATTATATTTCTGCTACAGTCAGTCACAGGCTGGGAACAACCCACAAGAAGCATGAACCAAGTGGTTATTTTCAAACTTTAATAAGCATACAAAATGCTTGAGTTTTTTGTTCAAATGCGCATTCTGATTCAGTGGCTCTGGAGAGGGACATGAACTGTGGCTCCAAGTTCCAGAAGCTGCTTATGGCACCGGCCCATGGACCACAAGTTGGGTCATAATGGTAGGAGCACTTAGCTATTGGTCAGTCCATCCACATTTGCTCTTCCATTCACTTGCAACCTGAGATGCTCAGTTCCACAGAGCTTTTGTACCTGCCCAACTCACAGGCCACTGTCCAGTCTATAGATGACTGCTCTGTGCCACATGATCATCCCTAGATCAACAATCTATGACCAGAGTCCTGGGATAAAGTTGTAGAGAGTGGCAACTTTGCATAATAAATAGCCAGTGTTTTAAAATAAAGTGTATTAATAGAAAATGAGAGGTATAGTAAGGCCAACAGATGAGAAGATGACTACCATTGAAGGTAGTTTGTATACTCACAGTTCCCAAGAGAAGGAACACTCTTAAGTTATGGGGCCCACATTGGAAAGCACCAGGGCTGTCAGGAAGCAGGGAGTGCAGGGATGTGATAATAGCTTTTTGTTGTTGTTGTCATTGTTGTTTGTTTGTTTGTTTAGATGGAGTCTTACTCTGTCACCCAGGCTGGAGTGTAGTGGCCTGATCTTGGCTCACTGCAACCTTCACTTCCTGGGTTCAAGCAATTCTCCTGCCTCAGCCTCCTGAGTAGGTGGAACTACAAGTGCTCCCCACCACACTCAGCTAATTTTTTGTATTTTGAGTAGAGATGGGGTTACACCGGGTTGGCCAGGATGGTCTCAGTCTCCTGACCTCGTGATCTACCCACCTCAGCCTCCAAAGTGCTAGGATTACAGGTGTGAGCCACTGTACCCAGCCGATAAGAGCTTTTATCATGGTTTTCTGGGGAAGAAATGGATAAGGTAGGGTAAGTGGGCTTAAGATTGGCTAGTTATAATAACTGGCATAGTGGCCAGCTCTAATTATCTGGTACCTGGCTTAGGGGTGATTAGGACAGATGGATAGTGACCCTGCACATAGGAACTTGTAAAGGATGTAGTTGAGGTGTGGGCTCTGGATTGGTCTGTGTTTGAAAAGCACATTCCTGGGGAAAGGGATTCCTCCTGAGGAGGAGTGCAGCTGAGTGGGAGATAGGAGGCCAAGGCAAGGTTACCCAGGCCTATCAATAGGTTGTTTAAAGCAAGGCATACCCTTCATATGCACACAAGGCAGAGGTTACAGTGTCACATTACAGAAGCTAGAATGAGGCTAACCATTGGCTTTGTTTCAGAATCCAGTCCTGGCCACGAAAAGGCCTTAGATCCCTCTTCTTCCTAAACATCATTTACACATGACTGGGATTTTCCTTAGAGTTTGGATAAATTGCTTTCTAGTCAGAACAGCCATCTTCTTCCCTTCTTTTGGATTCTTTAATGTTCCTGAATAAAAATTTATTCCAATCCTTGGTTCAATGCGAATAGCAACCAATTAAAACAACTCCTATATTTCTCCAAGTAGACTGAACCTACCCACCTGTGACTCTTCATGTTTCTGATTCTCAAAAGCTGCTTTGTAGAAAGCACAGGGAGATGTGGAGACACTTAGATAAATACGCAGGTGGGAGGTTCGAGAAAGTCCACAGACTTCGTTAGCGTTTACCACTTAAAATGCTTCAGAGAGTGGACATCCTTCTCTTCAACACTCACTCTTTTACAGGTTTCTTTCAAGTTTTGGGATGACCTCTTGATAAAAACCTGATTCAGTGCTAATGGACTGTAAGCTCTTGTGGTCTGGGAATGTTCTGGAAGCTACTGCAAGATGACCCAGCTTCTGGGCTCAGTAGGCAGCTAATAATAAAAACATCTGAATCAGAAAGGAGTTCTGCACAGTAAATTTTAAGAAGGTGAATTAGAAACCTTAAACTCCGCAGACCCACTCATGTCCAGAGGCTTGAAAGAACTCGCAATCACATAATTGATGTTTTCTGAAGAAAATAGTGTTTACTTCAGTATAACAATACAAGCTCAGCAGGCAGACTCCAGGTGCTTGAATATATTTGAGAGGGCAGCACAGTACATAATTATATCCTTGAAAGGAAAATAGATAACCCCTCCAGGAATCGAGTATTCTCATTCATACAAAATCTGGCCTGTTTGTCAACTATCATCTTACAATGACGGCTAGCAATGGGAGAGAAATTACAAATGGCTCTCACTCCTGTGCCAGAAAGTAACCTTCGGGCTTCCCTTCAAACCACAGAAAATAGAGCCATCTTAATTCAAAGTCAAAGAATTGCCAGCGCTGGGGAGGTCAAACTCCAGTCATGTATTATTGTTCAGCGATTTTCAGAACATAAATCATACCAGAAATTCCACCGTCTTCTCCCTTGGCAACAAATTCCCATGCCTTTGGGGTTCAGTGATTTGAAAATTCTGGAGTGAAGTTTGATGGAATAAGCTTAGTCAGGTTCAGATTCAGAGCTGTTTTGTGAGCAGCTAGCTTTGCCACTTCAGGCAGGTGGTTTAAATTCCATAAAGTCATAAATCCCCACTTCCTCCTTTGTGATTTTAATAATGACCTGAATTAGGTAATAAATGGGAATAAAACTCCTTGTAAAGTTATAATTACCCTTCGAATAGGAAATTAATTCCCAAATCTGAATTTTTCTTACTATGTTTAAATTCATTTTCTTATGTTTATTTTTTCTTTCTTCCTTCATTTCTTCCTTTTCTTGTCTTCTTTCATCTCTCTCTCCTTCCTTCTCTCTCTCTCCCTCCCTTCCTCTCCTTCCCTCCTCTCTTCTTCCCTTCCCTCCCCTTTCCTCCACTCCCTTCTCCTTTGCTTCTCTCCCTTCCCCTCCCCTCCCCTCTTCTCCCCTTGCTTCCTTTTCTGTTTTGATTTATGTTTGGTAAAATTGATTGTTTTTGAAAGATGATTTGGGCTAAAATAATTATCCCAGTCAGCAAATGGAGCCAGTATTGTAGAATCAGGCTTTCTGGGATCAACTTCTGTCTCCTCTAAGTGGCTGAGTAAGCATGAGCAAGTTACTTAAATCTCTGTACAATACTTTCCTCTTCTTAAAAGGTGAGAAAGATAATATTATCTACTTCATAGGGTTCTTGTAATGGAAAAAGTTAGTATTTGCAAAATGATTAAAATAGCCACTGACTTACAGTAAGTGCTGTGTTTGTTAAATAAAACACCCTAAAGTGTTATTTGAAAAGTGACAAATAAAGGTAAACTGAGTTTAGGTATCAGCTATCTGAAAGAAATTGTATTTATTTTTAAATTATTTTTTCTCTCTTTTTGAATTTCTGGCTTTGCTTTTTGTCGTTGTGTTTTAGAAACAGGGTTCTGTTGCCCAGGCTGGTGCACAGTGGCACAGTCATAGCTCACTGCAGTCTCAAACTCCTGGGCTCAAATGATCCTCCCATCAGGCTCCTGTGAAATAAAACAACTTTAAACTAAAGTAGTTAAGCTGGAGCTCATCTGTATAAATTGAGTCTCAGTACTCAATTTATGCCTGGGCAAGTGCTGCCCCATCCCTTCTCAAGGAAACTTATGAGTTGGAGAGCACCCTTCTTTATAGAAAATACCCTGTGCCTAGAATTGTCCAGGGCCAGTAGTGTGGTCAGAGAAGAGACCCAAGCGGGACTTGGACCTGGAGCTAGACAGGGCCCTGACCTGTTTTCTGCCTCAAGGTACTCCCTAACCTGCTGTTCTGCAATGCAGGGTTAACCAGCGCCCCAGGGAGTTCCAAGGCTTACCACTATGAGGTCATCCTGGGACACCATGGGCAGGTAAATACTAATTCCTGAAGGCAACCCAGCTAGTGAAACATTCTCCCTGGCCAAAGCAGTATTTCTTTTTCAGGATCATAATGAACAGTGCTGATACACTACTTTTGCAGGATTCAAATTCCTTAAAGAGACAGGAGCCCACCAAATATATTTGTCCTGCACAACTTATGGTAGCCCTGTGTGGCCTAAGGTCATCTGCCTTCCCTCCCCTCCCCTCCCCTCCCCTCCCCTCCCCTCCCCTCCCCTCCCCTCCCCTCCCCTCCCCTCCCTTCCCTCTCCCTTCCCTCTCCCTTCTCTCTCCCTTCTCTCTCCCTTCCCTCCTCTCCCCACTTTCCTCTCCCTTCCCTCTCCCTCCCTCTCCTCTCCCCAACTTCTTCCCTCCCTCCCTCATTACCTTCCTTCCTTCCTTCCCTTATTTATTCTGTATACCTTTATTCACAACAAAATTTGACCACTTTAAGTATACAGCAAGATCTCTATTTATCTTAAATATTTTTTTCTCTGTCTGTTCTTTGGATTGGATATTGATCTATACTGACGTTTATTTGTTTGGTCATTATCTGTATATTTTTAATTGTTTTAACATATTTTCCTCTAATTCTTTGAATGTCTTTTTCTTAAATTTGAGAATATTTAATCTAGCTGTTGTCTGCTAAGTTCACTCCTAGTCAATCTCTACAGCCCGTTTTATTCCCCTCTGTGCATTGGTAACTGAGTTTGGGCTACTACCAAAAGCAAGTTTTAGGACATTTCTAGTATCCCACAAATTTCCCAGTGCCTCTTTGCAATCACCACTGTGAACTAAAGGTGAAATAAAGACTGTGGTTAGGGGCTTATACGTCTACAATTGTTATAGGTTTATGATTGGTTATTTCCTTTTATCATTAAATATGAAATGTCTCTTTAATAATATTTTGTTTCTTGAAGGCTGTTTGATCTGGAATTGATGTAGTCATTCCAGTTCTCTTCAATTTACTTTTTGCATGGTTTTAACATTTTTTCCTTCCTTTATTTTCAACCTATTTATGTCTTTGCATTGGAATTGTGTTTCCTGTTAATATTAAATAATTGGAAATTATTTTTTACATGGTCAGAAAATCTCTACTGTTGGATGTGTTTAGCGAATTTGTATTTAATATAATAATTGGATTTAAATAAGGAATTTGGCTACTTGTTTTCTATTTCCATCATTTATTTTTTATTCCTCTATTCTTTCTTTCTTCCATAAATTTTAATAGCCATTTTACCCCCTGTAGTTAAGTTTTAGCTGTATTTATTTTTAAACAGTGATTACTGTAGGGATTATAATATGCATCTTGAATTTATTATAATCTAATATAATTAACCCTGATTTCTGATAAAATATGAAAATTTTGCACAAATACATGTTCATTCCCCCATCATTTTTGAATTGTTGTCATGTATATGGTGTCTGCACATTATAATATGCAGAAGTCCCCAAATATAGTATAACTTTGCTTCACACAATTCTAAATCTTACAGAAGTTAAAAGAAGAGAAGCACATGTATGTGTGTCTTTTATATATTTACCCCGTACTTACCATTTCTGACACTCTTCATTTCTTCCAGTGTAGGTAAATTACCATTTGTGTTGTTTTTCTTACACCAGAGGACTTCTTTTGGTATGCTTCATAGTGCAATTCTCCTAGTAACAATTCGTTTTTAGTTGTTAGCAATTTCAGTGTCTCCCTTGGCTTCCATTGTTTCAGAAGAGAATTTTGCCACTAATCATGTAGTTTTTCTTTGTATATGATTGGTCATTTTTCTCTGATTGCTTTTAAGATTTTCTCTTTATTTTGGCTATTAGGAATTAGACAATCATGTGTCCAGGTGCAGCTTCCTTTGTATTTATGCTACTTGGGGTTTGTTGAACTTTTTGATGTATTAGTTAATATTTTTACCGATTTGGAAGGGAGCTATACTAACTACTGTGCCACCTATACCTATACCTATACCTCAGTATTTGTCACCAATTTGGGAAGGTTTTGTCCATTTTAGTAAAAATATTATTTCTCCCCTTTCTCTCTATCATCTTCTTCTGTGACTCTAATTGTATGGTAGTTGGAATGCTTAATATTGTATCACAGATCTTTGTTTATTTATCTTAAACATTTATTTTTCCTCTCTTCTTTGGATTGGATATTGATCTGTTCTGAAGGTTATTTGTTTGGTCATTATATGCATTTTTAAAAGTTATTTTAACATATTTGTATTTAATTCTTTGAATATATTTTTCTTAAATTTGAGAATATTTAGACTAGCTACTTGAAGTCTTTGTCTTTTAAGATCACTCCTAGTCAATTTCTACAGCCTGTTTTATTCCCCTCTCTGCATCAATGACTTTTCTGTTTCTCTGCATGACTGGTAATTTTGTGAGAAACTAGACAAAATGAAGTGATATCATGCAGATGATATGTTGCAGTTACTTTCATATCAGTTTTAGGTCCCCCCTGCAACCAAAGAGTTGTTGTGTTTTTTGTTTTAATAGGCAATTAAGTTCCCTGGACTTAAGATGAAAAATATGTCTCCTCTGAAGGGGGCAGTCTTTGATATGTTCATTTGGTGCCTGATAGCCTTGTTCCCTTGTAGAGTTTCAGGGTCAGCCAAAGACATACACAGAGGTTATGCTCATACTGGCCCCATGCAGTAAGGTTTCCATCCTCTGCCATCTTTATTATTTCAACCTCTTTACATTTCTCTAACTTCCAAAATTTTACATTCAAATTTCTTTTTCCTTTTCCACCTGCCCTGAACTGAGTCTGCAAATAACAACTGTAAAGCTATTGGATTTTGCCACCACAGATGAAGCAGTAGGAATGTCCCAGCCAGTGACCACAAAATCACTGTTCTTACCTGATGAATTAGCAGTGCTTCATAAACAAACAATGTCAAATTGTTACCTACCTTTGATCTTGTTTTAATGCCTGGAAATAATTATTTTTAATAATTTTGACCAATTTTAAACTTTTTTTCTCCCATCTAAGTACTAACTAGTGCCAACCCTACTTAGCTTCCAATATCAGACTAGATGGGTGTATTCAGGGTGGTATGCATCAGATAACATGGGTGTATTCAGGCTGGTATGCATCAGATAACATGGGTATATTCAGGGTGGTATGGCCACAGAGAAATTTTAAACTTCCTTTCAAAACAGTGTAATCACCATGTTTTCTATCAAGACATTATTAAAAGTATAATTTTTTCATTTTAAGTGGTAATTATTTTAAATCATTCACGGTATCAAAATGTATACAAGTTTTCTTTGTTTTCAAATGAGTATTAGCTACTTTTTTTTTTTTTTTTTTTTTTTTTTGAGACAGGTTCTTACTTTCTTGCCCAGACTGGAGAGCAATGGCATAATCACAACTCACTGCAGCGTTAACCTCCTGGGCTCAAGTGATCCTCCCACCTTACCCTCCAGAGTAACTGTAACCACAGGCACACACCAACACTCCCAGCTAATTTTTTGTGTTATTTGTAGAGACAGGGTTTTATCATGTTGCCCAGGCTGGTTTCCAACTCTTGAGCTCAAGTGTTCTGTCTGCCTCAGCTTCTCAAAGTGCTGAGGTTACAGGCATAAGCCACACACTTGGCCCTATTCACTACTTTTAAAGGGCCTTAAAAAGCCTATGGTAAAAGATATCATGGAGATAAAGATTAACTTATGTAGATACAATTATAAATCTTTTACATGCAGTAATTATTTTTATCCTCACAGCTAACAGTTACCCCCATGAAGCAGTAATAATATTTTTCTCATTTTCCATAAGAGTAAACTAAGCAGAAATAAGATGAATGACTTGTTTAACGTCACCTAGCCAGGATGCAACTTCAAGCAAAGTGGGATTATCACTTTATATCATTAGAGAGGCAAACATAAAATATTATCAAAAGTTACCAAGGACTGTTATTACCTTCAAAGCAACACCACTGAAAACCTCTAAAGCGTGTATAATATGGATCCCTGATATTTCCTGGTGTCTTCCTCGAACTTTATCACAGTAAAGAATTCATGTTCTCTAAGCCATTGGGGATTATTTGTCATTTTTTTAAAACAATGCTGTTTATTTTTGTAACTGTTCCCTTATATGTAGCACAGTGAACCAGTGAAGAATAAAAAGCAGTAAGTAGGTTACATTGAGATTATGCATTAATTGGTTGAGGCTGAGAATTTGGGGAGAATAGGAAGTTTTGCTGCAATATATATCTGAAAGGGCATAATAAAGTGAGTTGTTAAAAAATTAATGACATTGCTATAGGATTGATATTTTAATTGCAAGTAGAGGATTTGGAGAGAGTAGAATTCAGCATCTTATGAAAATAAATCTAGGCTTGATCCATGAGGCATAAAAGGAAAGATAAAATATTCTAGTAATTTATGTTAGGAAAACTATGCTCCAAATACTGCAAAATAGGCATAAATATGTGCATTTTATAATTTGAAGTTTTCAATGATATACAGACACATATTAAATATAACAAAAATATTCTAGTATAAATTTGACCAAAAATAATTTAAGTAAAATATGTAAACATTTCATTAAAAATGGTTTTCTTTACTTTTGTCTTATTTAGGGTACCTTAGAAAGCAGATCCTGAGGTAGAGCCAGAGCTAGCACCAGTGCGGGCTATTCTGGAACCTAATTCTTATTCCGAAGTTGTCCAGACAACCAGCAGAGTCTATGGATAAGGCAGCAGTGGAATCTTGGAATCTCTATGAACAAAACCTGAGTATGAGTAAACAGTGATATCCAGAGGGGCTGGGAGGAAATGTAAACAGTGTCAGACACACATACTTTGATTATGTCACTTCATTTATCTTTAGAAGTTAGAATTTTATATGTCTCAAAGTAGCAATACAGTTGCTTTCTATCTTTATACCTCACTACATTTCTCTTTTCTTTACCCTATCTGTATTGATCTTTTTCATTATTGACAATATTTTTCTGCAAATGAAAATTGATAAATGCCTTGAAATTGACCTTGCATTCTCTCTCACTGCATATATATATATGTATGACAGTATATGTGATGTGGTTGTGATGGTTAATACTGAATGTCAACTTAATTGGATTGAAAAATACAAAGTACTGTTCCTGGGTGTGTCTGTGAGGGTGTTGCCAAAGGAGATTAATATTATGAGTCAGCAGACTGGGAAAGGCAGACCTACCATCAGTCCGTGGGCACCATCTAATTAGCTGCCAGCATAAAAGGTAGGCAGAAGAATGTGGAGAGATAAAACTGGCTTAGCCTCCTAGCCTCATCTTTCTCCCGTGCTGGATTTCTGCCTTTGAACATCAGACTCTAAGTTCCTCAGCTTTGGGACTTGGACTGCTCCTCAGCTTGCAGATGGCCTATTGCCTTGTGATTAAGGTCATTGGGAAACTACAACAGCCTAATCCAGGCAGGACTACAAATAGCTTATACCTTTCAGGAATGAAGGTTTGGGTCACTCCACCTGGATAAAAAACCATGTTAGTAGAAGGTAGTTACCAATACCCACAACCACATGATCGGGTGCAAAAATGAGGTCTCTGTAATTGTCAAGCATTTCATCCTATTTTTGTTAAAAATATGTTTGTGCAGGTATACAGTTGTAATAAGAACATGTCTTCATTTTATTTCCTTCTGTTTATCATGTGATGTAAGATTTATTGACTTCATATCAGCATTTAAGTGTTGTTAATTTTATGTAATAGCATTTGGTTGAGGATTGGTGCATTTCCAGTTGTACAGAGGAGGGTTGTATTATGTTAGGTATAATTATTACCTTATTATTCTCTTTATTTGAAGATTATGTATGATCTCAGGAAATGTGTATGGGTTCAAGGTGACACAGGGTGGATTTGTAATCATTAATACTAAATGTCAACTTTATTGGATTGAGGGATGCAAAGTATTGTTCCTGAGCATGTCTGTGAGGGTGTTGCCAAAGGAGATTAACATTTTAGTCAGTGGATTGGGAGAGGTAGATCCACCCTCAATGCAGGTGGGCACCATCTAATCAGCTGCCAGTGCAAGCAGAATAAAAAACAGGCAAAAGAACATGTAGAGATTAGACTGGTCTAGCCTCCCAGCCTTATCTTTCTTCTGTGCTGGATGCTTCTTACCCTCAAATATAGGACTTCAAGTTCTTCAGCTTTGGGACTCAGACTGGCTTCTTTACTCCTCAGCTTGCAGATGGCCTATCGTGGGTCTTTGTGATTGTGTGAGTTAATACTCCTTAATAAACTCCTCTTTATATATATATACATGTATACATATAAATATATATATATTTATATAGGTATGTATATTTATACACATATAAATATATATGTATGCATATCTATCTTATTAGTTATATTCCTCTAGAGAACCCTGACTAATACAGTGGTATATTCTGTATTGTATATATTAAATCAACTAAAAGCTATGGGGATCAGAAGACTGATGAGTTAATTTGGAGACTTAAAAAGCAATATTTATTTCTTGCATGTTATTTCAAATTTTATATGTGTTTCACATGTGATTTCAAAATTATAATAGAATACACTTAACATTTTGTAACATGTTTAAATAGTTCTTAACATTGAATAAAAAGGCTTTATGTGCTCAATAGAACTATGATTCCAATTATAGCTCTTCTGTATTAGATCACCTTGATCAAGTCACTTAACTTTTCTAAGAATTATTCTCATCTGTAAAGCAGAGAGAACAATACCTCCTTAAAGATTCTTTAAGTGTATCTATCAGTCATTGTTCAGTCAGGAAATCAACAGCGGATTCTGATTTTTGTTTGCAAAAGTGTTAGATGAGCTGGAAAAGAAAAGGGGAAAGGGGCATTATCCAGATATGACCAAGATGTAGCCACCTGTGGGCTGATGTCCATAAGCATGTTCTTGCCACTAATATTGTTAGAGCAGTTATCTTCAATACTGCTGAAACCATGGTAGGTGGTATGAGCAAGAGCTATTGTCCCTTCACCTGATTGAACTGCGAACTCCTGATTATAAAATGCTTCATTAGCAGACCTTGGGCTCCCGCTGCTGCTACTCTTGCTGCTATCACTACAGGAGGGTTCCTCAGAAACAGAATGTATCATTTCTTACCGAAATTCTTTTTGGCATAACTACTTCTGATTGGCAGAGTGATCAGCAAACTTGGTAGCAAGAAGAGCTGCAAATAATAGTTTGCAGGTTTCTAGCCCTAGCAGTTTGAAGGTGAATATAAAAGCACAAATTTAGGCTGAGGCTTAATAAGTAAATGTCTATTGCATTCAGAGGAAACAAAATCTAAAGCATCTGTCATCAGGTAGGGATCTTAGTGGTCCTATTTTTATACATTTAAACCTTCTTATAATTTATTTCAAATTCTTCTTAGAATTCATTGATAAATACTTAAAATATAAGAACAAGAAATTTATTTGATCACTGGGGCTTTAAAAGGAACGATATCTCAGAGAATGAATGAATCCCAGCAAAATAACACAAATTTTTCAGTACCTGTTACTATTTCCTTTCTGATGTTGAAAGAAAGCTAAACACATGAAGACGTAGAGCCCGGAACTGTGAAGGATGTTGTCACAGGGACATTGTGAGAGAGATGCTAAAAAGTAAAGACTTCTCATTTCTAATATTGTCCAATGCCCTTAGTAATGTAAAAATATTTTATGTTATATAATAGTTGTGTAAAAAAGCTCTAGACTTGGAATTATGATGCCTTTCTATTTTTGTCTTTTTCACTAATTAGTTGGGTAGCAGTAAGAATAAATTAGTTTACGGAGTGTGGGCTTCCCTTCCACAGAGAAAAAAAGCTTGGATTCATTAATTCTTTCTAGGTTTTGTCCAGCTTTATTGTTCCTTTTCATGAAAATGGATGATGATGATAATGATAATGATAATGATGATGACAATTTGTATAACTAATAGGATTGGAATTTATTGAATGCTAACCATATGCCAGAAACTAGGATAAGTGCTCTGTACATATAATGGTAACCATTGTTAATGTATTTAAAGCACCTGCATCTAACAGAGGAGAAAATTAGACATAACTGAACTAGTTACACTCCTTATGTGGATTTGGCTGAATGAAGACCTAAAACTAATTTTCAGTGCTTCATTAAAAGCACTAAATTTATAAGAGAAAGATGCCTGTAAATTCTGGATATATTTTATGTCCAAAGATTCATGGGTAGACACTGCTACAGTAGGAGCACCTGTAAGAATGGCAAGCTCTTTGATTGCTTTACTTCTTTTTACCAGTCCATTCACTTGCTGCTCTTTGGCATAAGGTACATTTATCTTCAGCAGCTCCAGAGCACAGTATATGTACCAGGAAACCAATAAACATGGTAACACTTAATATTAAATTGCAATTACATATTAATTCTTTCATAATGCTTGAGCATGATGAAATTTACAAATTACATTTCATAATTTAATATGCTGGATGAATCATGATTACTGCTTAAAAATCATTAGCACTTGAATTTTTAACGCACTCTTCAAGTTCTTGGAAAGTGGTATTTAGTGAACTGTTGTGGGTGAACCCTTTTCTCAGACAAAAGGAAAATATTAGGCTTCCTAATTTCTCTGACCTGAAGTGGGGTTGGAGATTGGGTTACAGTTGTTTTTCCTGCCTGGTAATATCACCAGAGCAGGGGTAAAATTGCTATAGCGGCAAAGAGTCATTTAGGCATTGCCAGGGAGATTAACATGTTAGTTGTGTCAATTTCTAGGTGAGAAAAAGCTGATCCAGGGATTTCAGCACTCCTCCTCCACCCCAGATTACAGATTACATCTATAGTCCTTGTTTAATAGGTATTTTATCTCAATTTATTTTCACAACACTTTTCTTAAAAATAAAACAAAACAGATTATTTGTTGAGCTGTCCTTCTGGGTCAGCCTTTGTGCTAGCAAGGGGCTGTGACTACAGGCATCAGTGAGGTCATCACTATCTTGAAGAAGCTGTACTCTCATGGGTAGCAAAATCTATAAATAAATTGTAATAACTCATGTGGAGTGCAGCACACCTTCATCTAAGGAAAAAAGCCCACAGGAAGGAAAAATCTCTCCCCATCTCTCTTTTTCTTCTCATTGGACTTTTTCTTCTCATTGGACTCTTTTCCTGCCCATTAGTTCATCTCTCACTGGTGGGCTTTACTGGTACAGGGGAATAAAGTTGTTAGTGTCTCAGCCCTGTTTGTTTTCTGTGATCAGAGCATGGTTGGAAGAAGTGGAGTTGCCAGCTGGCAAGGCAACTTCTGGTAAATCAGGGACAGTAGAGGGGACACTGGCATCTGGCTGGCTTTTGAGGCTTCTTTGACAGTCTGGCTCCCTGTAGAGCAGGAGTGCTTCTTAGCATATGGTCACTATGTCACATGGCAGAGCATCAGAGGGCCTGTGAGTCATAGATTATCCACACAGCAGGGCAGATTCTGCTGACATGCATCCCTCAGCTGTTGTGTAATCTTACACCATGTTCTGTATGATTTTTTAGCACAAGATAGCTAGTGTTCTAATCCCTCCTTGTGGGGGTATCACAAAGGAAAATCCCACAAGACCTCTCTGGCTCTGTGCTTTGTAAATGTGGAGAACTTCCCAAATGGAGATAAACTATTCTTTTTTCTGAACTCAGCCTGAGAACTGC